AGCTCTGGTAGTGTAGTGCCTAAAGTGCTTGACTGCTAACCAGAAGGCTGGTGATTCAAACCCACCAGCCACTCCTTGGAAGGAAGATGGGGCAATTTACTTCCTTAGTGATACTGCCTCAGAAACCCAAGGAGGAGTCGCTATGAGTTGGGTCCGACTCCACGGCACATAACAACAACAACATCTATTTTGAGGAGGCAGCTTTTCTCCAATTGTATGTTGAGTGCCTTCCAACCTGAAGTGCTCATCATCCAGTATTATGTCAGGCAACGTTTCACTGTTATTCATAAGGTTATCAGTGGTCAACTTTTTTCAGAAGCATATGGTTCTAACCTTCTTCCGCATATTTCTAGTATCACAGCAACACACAAGCCACCAGAATACAACAAACTGACAGATGAGTGTAATGTACAAAATATGAATCTAGGAAAATTGAAAGTTGTCAAAAGTGAAATGGAACAAATAAAGAACAGTACCCTACGCATTAGTGAGCTGCAAAGGACTAGTATTCACCATTTTTAATTGGACAATCATATGGTCTACTATGTGGGGAATGCAAATTGAAGAGAAATGGTGTTACATTCATTGTCAAAAGGAACATTTCAGTATCTACCCTGAAATACAGTCCTGTCAGTGATAGGATAATATCCATATGGCTACAAAGAAGACCAGTTAATACTACTATTATTCAAATTTATACATCAGTCACTAAAGCCACTAAAGATGAAGAAATGGAAGATCTTTATGTATTTATTTATTTATTTTTAACCAATGTTGCAGTCTGAAATTGACCAAACATGCAGTCAAGATCTGTTGGTAATTAAGGGGCCGCCGCAGCTCCCGCTCAAGTTGGCAGTCCCCTCTGGTGCTGCTGGGCGAACGTAGAGTCCCCAGTGCAGGTGCCCGCGGTCTCCCGGTGGCACAATCTGCCACAACCCGAGGCGACATGAGTGGCGCAGGGCAGTTGGCTCCAGCCCGGACCCGACTGCAGCGTCGGTGGCTCGGGAGTACTACCCTGAGGAAGACGAAGACCTGGAGAGCGCTGCGGATGACGAGTGCAGCTGCCGGAGCCGCGAGTCCGACGAAGACACTGAGGATGCTAGTGAGACTGACCTGGCCAAACATGATGAGGAGGACTATGTCGAGATGAAGGGACAGATGTTTCAGGACAAACTGGCTTATTTCGAGAGGCAGCTGCAACAACTGCAGGAAGGTATATTACAGGAGTATCAGAAGAGAATGAAGAAACTAGACCAGCAGTACAAAGAGAGGTTATGAAATGCACAACTCTTCCTCCAGCTGAAAACAGAACAAGTGGAAAGAAACTACATTAAAGAGAAGAAGGCAGCAGTGAAAGAATTTGAAGACAAAAAGGTTGAGCTGAAAGAGAACCTGATTGCTGAACTAGAAGAAAAGAAGATGATTGAAAACGATAAACTCACAATGGAACTGACTGGAGATTCTATGGAAACGAAAACCATCATGACCAGAAAGTTGTGGAGGCGACTGAATGATCCTGTCCCCATCCCGGACAAAAGGAGAAAACCCGCTCCTGCCCAGCTAAACTACTCACTAACAGATGAACAGATCATGGAGGATTTGAGAACATTAAACAAGCTTAAGTCAACCAAGAGACCAGCATCCCCATCCTCTCCTGAACACTTGCCTGCCACACCTGTAGAGTCTCAGCTCAGAGATTTGAAGCTCGGATAGAAGGTGGCAAAATGTACTATGACAAAAGATGGTACCACACGAGCCAAGCCATCTACCTTGAGTCGAAGGACAACCAGAAACTCAGCTGTGTGATCAGCTCTGTTGGCGCCCATGAGATCTGGGTGAGGAAGAGGAGTGACAGCATGAAGATGAGGATCTACTTGGGCCAGCTCCAGTGTGGACTCTTTGTGATCTGCCTACGGTCAGCCGCTTGGCTTTCAACAGTGTTCTTCCTTTGAGACCTTTTCTGGAGTGGTTTTTATTTTTGTTTTGTTTTCTTCTTAATAGAAAAATTTTAATTAACTTACTGGGAAAAAAATCTATTGATAATTATTGGTGATTGAAATGCAAAAGTTGGAAATAAAGAAGCAGCATTGGTAGTTGGAAAATATGGCCTTGGTGATAGAAATGATGCTAGACACTGCATGATAGAATTTTGCAAGAAGAATGACTTATTTATTGTAAATACCTTTTTTTCCAACAATATATAAGATGATTATAAACATGGACCTTGCCAGATGGAAACCAAAAAAAAAAAAAAAAAAACAACTCACTGCCTTCCAGTCGATCCCTACTCATACCAATCCCTACTTTGGTTTCTGAGGCTGTATCTCTACAGAAGTAGATTTTCCAATCTTCTTTCTGAGGAGTGGCTGGTGGGTTTGAATGCCCAGCCTTCTGGTTAGCAGTCAAATGCCTTAGGCACTGTACCATTAGAGGTCCAACCATAGAAATCATATTGACTTCATCTATGGAAAAGTGTGATGAAGAAGCTCAGTATCATCAGTGAGATCAAAGGCAGGGGATGACTATAGAACAGATCATCAATTGCTCATATGCAACTTCAAGACGAAGCTGAAGAAAATTTTAAAAAATCCACAAAAGTGAAAATATAACCTTGGTTATATCCCACCTGAGTGTAGAGACCATCTGAAGGAAAAATTAGGTGCATTGAGCACCAATGACTGAAGACCAGATGAGTTGTGGAATGACATCAAGAACATCAAAATGAAGAAAGCAAAAGGTCATTAAAAATACAAGATGAAGAAAAGACCAAAGTGCAAGTCAGAAGAGACTCTGAAACTTACTCTTGAATGGAGAATAGCTAAAGCAAATGGAAGAAATGATGAAATTTAAAAAAAAAAAAAAAACTGATCAGCCACCAAAGGGTAGCTTGAGAAGACAATTGACATTATTATGAAATGTGTAAAGAACTGAAGTTAGATAACCAAAGGGAAAAACATGTGCAGCATTTCTCAAACTGAAAAACTGAAGAAAGAATTCAAGCCTCAAGTTGCAATATTGAAGGATTCTAAAATCCTTGCAAATACATCAAAAGAAGAGGGAAAGAATATACAGAGTCACTGTACTAAAAAGAACTGATTGGCATTCAAACATATCAGGAGGTAGCAAATGATCAAATACCAATAGTATTGAAGGATGAAGTAGAAACTGTACTGAACTGGTGAAAAATAAGGGTCCAGGAATTGACAGAACACTGATTGAGATGTTTCAACAAATCAATGCAGCACTGGAGGCACTCATTTATGCCAAGAAATTTGGAAAACAGCTACTTGGCCAACCAACTGGAAGAGATCCATATCTCTGCCCATTCCAAAGAAAGGTGATCCAACAGAATGAGGATATTATCGAACAATATCATTAATATCGCATGAAGTAAAATTTTGCTGAAGATATTAAAAACAGTTGCAGTAGTATATTTACAGGGAACTGCCAGGAATTCAAGCCAGATTCAGAAGATGACATGGAAAGAGGGATATCTTTGCTGACGTCAGATGGTTCTTGGTTGAAAACAAAGAATACCAGAAAGGTGTTTACTCATATTTGATTGATTATGGAAAGGCATTAGGCTATGTGGATCATAACAAATTACGGAAAACATTGAGAAGAATGGGAATTCTAGAATACTTAATTGTGCTCATGAGGAATCCGTACATAGAACAAGAGAGGAGTCATTCAAAAAGTACAAAGGGATACTGCATGGTTTAATATCATGAAAGATCTTGTCAGGGTTGTAGCCTTTCACTGTACTTACTCAATGTGTATATTGTTGTTTTTGTTATGTGCCGTCGAGTCGGACCCAACTCATAGCGATCCCTCCTTGGATTTCCGAGGCGGTATAACTATGGAAGTAGATTGCCTCATCTTCCTTCTGAGATGTGGCTAGTGGGTTTGAACCGCAAGCCTTCTGGTTAGCGGTCAAGTGCTTTAGGCACTATGCTACCAGAGCTCCTGTGTATAGTGAGCAAATAATCCCAGAAGCTGGGCTATATGAAGAAGAACATAGTATCAGGATTGGAGGAAGAATAATTAACAACCTGCAATATGCAGATGACACCACCTTGCTTGTTGAAAGTGAAGATCATTTGAAGCACCTACTAGTGAAGATCAGAGACTACAGCATGCAATATGGATTACACCTCAACATAAAGAGAACAAATGTACTTACAACAGAATCAATAAGTGGCATAATGCCTAAAGCATTTGATCGCTAACCAGAAGGTTGGCAGTTCAAACTCACTAGTCTTTCTGCAGAAGAAAGACTGGGCAATTTACTTCTGTAAAGATTTACTGTCTCAGAAACCCAAAGGGGGTCACTATGAGTTGAAATTGACTCAATAGAAGTGAGTTTGTGTTTTTTTTTTTTTTTTTACCAATAAGCAACATCATGATAAATGGAGAAAAGTTCAAGGTGTATCAGAGATTCCATTTTACTTGGATCCACAACCAATGCCCATGGAAACAGTAGTCAAGTAATTAGACAACATATTGCATGGGCAAATCTATTGCAAGAGAGCAAAGATGTCACTTTGAAGACTAAGGTGTGCCTGACCCATGCCATGGTCTTTTTGATTGTCTCATATGCATGTGAAAGCTGCACAATGAGTAAGGAAAACTGAAGAAGAATTAATGCATTTGAATTATAGTGTTGGCAGAAAATACCCTGGACTGCTGGAACAACAAACCAATTTGTATTGGAAGAAGTACAGCCAGAGTGTTCCTTGGAAGTGAGAATGGCCAGACTTCATTTGAAACGGTTTGGTCTTCTCAGAAGGGACAGTTCCCTGGAGAACAATATCATGCTTGGTAATATAGAGGGTCAGCAAAAAAAGGGAACATCCTCAGTGAGATGGATTGCCACAGTGGCTGGGAAGATGGGTTAAAGCATAGCAAATATTGTGAGGATGGTGCAGGACCAGGCAGTGTTTGCTTCTGTTTTACATAAAGTCATTCTGAGCTGGAGCCAACTCCACGGTACCTAAAAACAACACACCTAGGAACCAGAAGGAAGAGGGGAATTCAGCCTAGTGTGATCAGTATTCTAGATTGTCCTTTGGCTGCCTCACAAGGGACCTGAGGCTACCCCAGGCATGAGTTTTTACCTGCATTATATGGCACTGTACTTAATAGCTGACAAATGTACCATTCTCTGATTTTATGTGGGCTTTCTTTTCAACAAAGGTCCATATAAATCCAGCTTTCTATTAGTTTCTACTGCTAGCATAGTCATAATCCTCTTTCCTACTCTTAACATAACTCTGTTTTATGCCGAATGATGTAAGTTATCCACAGCAAACTGGCTCATTTTCTAGCTTCAGAAATGTTAAAAAAAAATAATAATAATCACAGAATAAAGTCTCCACAGGACTAGCAGCACAACAAAAAAAATAATCATTGCTGTTCTGAGACCAGCACTTAACCTTCAACCACATTTGGAGCTCTGGTAGCATAGTACCTAAGGCACATGACTGCTAACCAGAAGGCTGGCGATTCAAACCCACCAGCCACTCCTCAGAAGGAAGATGGGGCAATCTACTTCCATAGTGATTGATACTGCCTCAGAAACTGAAGGAGGGGTCACTATGAGTCAGGTCCGACTCGACGGCACATCACAACAACAACTCTCAATCTACTAGTATTGTTTGTGAGCTGACGATATGCAAAACTTCTTTCCCTCCATGTTCTATAGAGCACTTTAGTGTTATAGTCTTGAGCAACTTTTAGATCGTTAATGCATGTCTCCTGTCATTATGCAGAGATTTTGGCAGAATGTACGTGGGAGAACATAGATGGATGATTCACATTTATATCTCCAGCAAAATTGAGAGGCAATGTCAAAATAAAACATTGCTGTGTATAATTTACCCTTTTTCTTTTTTCTCTGATTATTAGACAAATTTCAAACTGGGGTATATAGCTGAATTTGAGACAGATTAAGGTTATTTATTTCTACTTAATTCCTGTTAGAACATACAAAATTATTATTTCTAAAATAAATATGATTTTGCATGCCCATTACTATAGCTTTGGCATGATACAAAATACTTTCTTCTAGAACCCTTTCAACAATGAACTAAGTGAAAATAAGTTGAAGTGTCCAAATCAAATATTTGGATATCTGTGTTACACTGTAGCCCTTCCTCGCAGAAGCTGGGCTCCAGCAGCAGCCAGACTGGGAAGCAGTTCCATCTGGCCATTTTAAAAAAGGGAGGGAGTAAGGGATTATCACACAGAGAAAGAAAGAATTTTCTAGGGTCTCTATCTGTTCTGTGATTCCTTGGCTCTTGAGCACACCTGGGCAGAGAGCATTGATAGGCATCTGTAGTAGGTTAAAGGCTTCTGATAATGTCAACAAAAGAACACACTGGAAACAAAAGGGGCAGAGGTAGGTGGGTAATGGAAACTAAAATGCTGACATTATCACTCAGCCCTTTGTTACTGCTGTTTGTTAAACTTCAGTTGCTGTACAGATTTCCTACTGTGGAATAGGAGAAGCACTACCTACTTGTCCATTTTGTGAGCACCCCTCGCAGAGAGGCACCAAATTTCCTACTAGATTTCTTTTTCCTGTGTGTTCTGGGCAGAGTTCAGAGGAGTGAGTCCAACCCTGCCAATTACTTCTTAAGGTGAGAGAGGTGCAGAGTCTGCATGAGTATAAGGCCACGGTCTCCCATCAACCCAGAAAGAGCTCAGCTGTAGTGAACTACAGGCACAGGGGAGGACTGAGGGGAAGGTTTGCCATGGTTTCTTTCCAGAAATCCCTATTCTAATAGCTCCTTTTTGATTTCTACAGATTAGCACCAACAAATTAGCATAATAACATTACCCAGACTACTTTGCTGTTGTTTTCTTTTAAAGGTCGGTGAGATTGAGGCTAGAGAATGTAATGGATTGAAAAAAAAGAAAGAGAGAATTACCATATTTAATATTGTTTCCA